GTGTGCGGCTGGGTGCTCCCTGCCCGCCGGGCAAACGGGGCCGGAGCCGCGGCGGGGGGTGTGGCGTGTGTGCTGCGCACCCTCCACACGCTTGGAAAATGCCGCCACCCCCGACACCTTTGGATGTAGCTGCAAGTTCGGGTTTGATCCCCGTCAGTCAAGCTTCTAATTGATAAGATTAAATCACTACAGCTCGGGAGCATAATTGAGTTTGCTGCTACTGTTACGATATTATCCAGACCCATAAAGAGCTGCCTGATGCAGGCAGCCTCTAAGCAAGGGTTTTTTTTTTCAGTCATGGCAAGTTTATGCAATGAGTAATGCCGCATGGAAAGAAGAGCACCTTTCTTCCTCCTCGTGGGTTTTTCTTCATCTAAAATCACAGATGCATCCAACTGCTGGCTGTATAGGAACCTTACAACGAGGAAAAAAAATAAAAGAAAGATAGCACACCTGACGTGTCCCCTTGTTCACCAAAACTTCCCATTACTTGATTCCCTACAATCAGATCAAACTTTCAGAGAAGTATTTGAAAAACTCAACCCATCTGAGGTACACACAGTAACCCTCCTGAGTCCTTCCCTTCACCCAATTGCATCTTTACAGGGATACAGGCATCTCCCAGCAGGAACCAGGCCCGTTCCAAGAGGCTGTGGATCAACCCTCAGCTCCTCCGTGCTCCTTTGGATCAGTCCTTCTATACCAACAGGTATGCCCAGGGCATTAGTAAAGGAGCAATTCTGATTTTCAGCAGATGGGAACTCTTCATCAGGAGGGTTTTTAAGACAATCCATTCATGTTTGCATTCTCCTCCTGTATTTTTGCTTGTCTGTGTCTGTTGCCTGCCAGAGCACCCAGCCCAGCCTCCCACCTTGCTGAAGGGAAAATCACATTAATGCTGAGCTGCAGTAAGTGGTCTGGTTTTAAGAAATGCAGACAGCCGTGACACAAGAGCAGAGGGAGGCACAGTAATTAGTTTAGTCTGAGCTCAGAAACCCAGAGCCTGATAAATTAAGCAGCCACGTGTCCCAGCAAGAGGAGCTCTGCATAGAAAAGTGCAGGTGCTTTTTTCTCACCACAGAACAGGTGCAGTTTTATTTATAAATACTTCTGTGCACCTTCTTGTGGAAAAAGGCACGTCAAGCAAATACTGAAGTTAACTGAAACAGAGGGGGTGTGCACAACTTTACTCACTTTGTGGTGATTCATTTGGATTCTGGTAGATCTGATGGCAGGCAAGTCTCACTTATGAGCCTTTTTTCCGACATGCTTAGCTTCTCCACAGTCACCTCTGGGTCAAAATTTTCTGTATATGGAAAATTTTCCTTATATCTTGCACCAAATGTATCTTTTGCTTCAGACTAAGACACCTTTTCCAAATCTGTCCATGCCAATTTTCAGATATCACCTTCCCTGGATACAAGCCTGTATAAGAAAGAGCAACAAGAGAACTTGGTTTTGGTGAGACATGGCATTCATTTGTTAGTCACACATTGATGGAAATTCTCACTTTATAAAGTTGGCCACTAAAATACAGTCATCTCTGCCGATCAGGCTTTGTAATCTTGCTGCTTAATCCTACCATTTTGTGTGTGAAGTCCATCCAGAGAAGTCTCCAGCCAATTTCTACACGGTTAAAATTCCAGATAACTTTTACAAGTGTGATTTACAGAAACCTAGGCCTTCAATGTGTTCCTGACCATGACTGTTTCCACCTAACTACCCTAACAATGTAGTGCCCTAATTTTTTTACAGTCTGCCCTTTCAAAATTCAGAGTTTTAACAAAAGACCAACTTCCACTTGAACTTGTGGATTTAAATGAATTGACATGCTGTCTCTCAATCCAAGGTTAATCTCTAAGAGTAGAAAAGAAATAGCGTCTACAGACATTTGAAACTCCTCCAGGACTTGCTGAAAATGTCATCCACTTCTGGTGAAGCTGGAGATGACCTCCAGCGTAAGTTAGTTCATGCAGTTATCAGGAACTGCTTAAGGCAAATCACACTGGTTTGCTTTAAGCGTCAGTGGAATCACCACTACCAATATGATAATCAGTGCTGCAGGTCCATTTTAATTCACCATTTTCTTTGCTTCTGAGTGAGAAACAAGGAGAACAGAAAGCTGTAGGACAGACTGCTAGTGGATGGTGTGTTTTCTGGAGGTACTCTGTGCCCTGGTACAGCTGTCCTCCACTCCTCACCCAAGCATAGCAAGGACACACAAAGACCAACAAATTTGTGTCACTTCATCCAGGCACCTGCTCAGCTTCCTACCTGGAAGATCCTAGTTCAGCATGTCCAGGGCCAACTGGAGGCACAGGACAAGTGAAAGGAGACTGAGACTACAAGGCTGGTTCCCATTTCTTTTCAAATTCTCAATTATTCATCTGCTAGACTGCTTCACAATGAGGTCTGGAGTCTAGTTCCCCACTCAGCCCAGAATTTAATCCTGGGGTGATGGTTTGCCAGCCCCCTGCCAAACTGCCACAGCTCTTCAATGCCTTCTTCCCCAGGTAACATTCTGATAATTCAAAATGTCGCACAGTAAAAAAGGGATAGTCCATAAAAGTAACAGTCCATAAAACAAATTGTCCTCTAAAGAACCTACAATCAAGATAGAAATCTTCAGAGACATGCAGGTGGCTGAAGGAGACTAAAAATAGCTTTCACACCACCATATACAGACCCAAGGTACTGTATGCAGACATGTAGATTTAGCAACGAAATTCACGTATGCTGAGCACCAGCAGTGAAGGGAAACCACCGAAATCAACAGAATCACACAGAATATAATTCTGCTCAGTCTCTCCCTTTGGGTTTGAAAATACTCGTGGATGCCTTTGCTTTGATTTTACTAGTACCATGTTTTTATCAGTGCAGTTTGGGAAACCAGACCATAATCAGCCTCTTTTGTATGTGTTTTATGCTGTTATCTGCATTCCCCTTTCTTGTATATGTCTAAAAAAATCCTATTTTGTTACAAAAAAAGGTGACTGAAACAAATAGTACTTTAGATAGACACTGCTACTATCCTGTGGTTAGCTAGGCTTATTTTTAACCTTCTGCAAAAGATGGGGCACAAGGAACATCTTGCTGCTTCTTCAGAAAAGAGCTCCACGTAAAACTATTGGCAATATTCTGGGCAGGGGGAAAGGAAAAAAACCCCAACTTTGCCCTCTTAAAGCTGGAGCCTTAGTGAGAAAACAAGGGTTGTAAAGAAGAATTATGGCATAACCTGATGCTGTGCTAGGAGCTGGCTTGCACCCATCATCCCCTACCACTTCCCAGGGGAAACCTTGTGTGTGAGTGCTGCTGATGCAATACAAAAGCTCATTGCATCATGCAACTGCCAGATGTTAGTGCTAGGAGAAAAAATCGGGACATAGATTCTGAGGTCTTTGAACAGCTCTAGGGTTAGGGACCCAGGCAGCAAAGGCTAAAGAAAGGGAAAACAGCCTGTAAGGTGACAGGCTGCCCTTCCAGGATCTGGGATGCCTGGCAGCATTGCCTAATGAATTCAGCCTCTTGAGAGCCTGGCAAAAGCAACCTACCCCAGGTGAGCCAAGGGTAGGCCAGCCTGTGTGAAAAACCTGTACCTGGTCACAGGGCTGCTGCTCTGCTGCATAAGAAAAAGCTGGAGAACACAGGGAGATTTACCATGTGCTGCTGATGTCAGTTGAGTGAAACGTACACTGCAGGTAGCAAAAATTCAGGAAACATAAATGCAATAACCCTGGCTAAGAATGGGCCTGCCAGCATCATACTTTGCCTCCCCTTTTGTCTCTACATCATGTAGGGAATTGGAGGGCCTTGCTAAGATTTGAGTTCCCTTAAAAGTTGGCCTTTTCTGTGCAAGACACATACATATGTTACAGAGACAGCACTGGTGATTGCAGGTTACCCTGCAATGTTTGTTTTTAGAGTTACACAAGTGATCTCAAACCTGGGATAAAAATCCCAGGTTCTCTCTCCAGTACTCCCCTCCTTCAGGAAAAGTCTGCTTACCCAATACCTCAGAGAGTTTGCCTGGGACCTGACTCAGAAACTTTCATAAACCACAAATCCCCCAGAGTCCCTTTTCCATTCCAAAGGAAAGAAACTCCTTGATGCAGCAGGCAGAGCTGGAGAAAGCGTTCAGCTTTGCCACAGACCTACTGTTGCTTTACCTTTTTTACCCCTCCCCTCTTTCATCTTGTCTGCTTTGTCTGCAAGCTCTCTAGGGGCAGATTGAGCCCTTAATATAGGTTTGCACAGAACCTGGTACAAAGTTGGATTCTCATCTTGATGCCTTAAGTGGTTTTGTAATACGAGTCAAGTGATCTTTAAGTCTGGTTTGTCAAAACTAGGAGCCAGAGCTGTGGCCCCTTGGCTTTCTGGACACTTTCTTACCTTATACTCCTCATCCCCAGGTGGGAGAGTGCCACTGGCCCCGATGGCAAGATGTCCCCTAAGGACCAGGGTGGTTTTGTACTCCCTTGCACTCAGCAGCTTCGTTGCTTGTTGGTGATGAACGGAATAAAAATGCACAGTAATACTGCAACCCCTTGCCCCCCTTCCCCTCTGAAAGCCAGAGATCTCTGTGCATTAAACATGCCTGGTTTCAGTCCCCAGCCACATTTTCCACACTGTCAGTGCTAGCTGGCTGGGCTGTTTATTTTAGGAAACATAGCTGTATCATTTGCACACGCCCTTATAGGCAGACACAAGCTCTCCACTCGTGTTCTTCAAAAGAATGGAAGGCAAGATGAAGAGCTCTTTGTTGCTGTGCGCAGCCTTGGCCGTCTCCTTGGCGTTCGCCCTTGTGGCAGGTAGGTGAGAAATGGAAGGCATGGAGAACTGTGCTTCAGATATCCATGACAGGCTTTGTGTAATTGACCATTAATTCTTCGAACAGTCAAAAATCAAACCTCAAAGCCTGCTCCATCAGTCACGCTTCAGTGGTGCTGGAGACCTCGGTGTCTGTCTGCACCAGAGAGCTGTGTGTTGCTTAGTGCTGCCTTGAGGCTAAAAAAGTGATGACTAGCTGCAAATTTAAGACTTTATGTTTAGCCATTTTTGACTGGGTTTCTGAAGCAACAAACCGCAGACATGCATGCTTGCTTTTCTGCAGTGCTAGGAAGCTTGCAAGACTCTTGCTTGCTAGATTTAAAGGCTTCTGAATCTTCCTGGTAATCCTGTCATATGGCTACAGCCAGCTTATTTCTGATTAAACTGTAGTTTATTATGTAACTCCATTCAATTTCTTGGAGACTCCTGATTTAGACTGACATCAGACTGTGATCCCAACACACTCCTCAGTGTGGTTCACCGGTAATAGATACTGACTCTGCTAATGCCAGATACAACAGTCTAAAGTCATCCTCAGCCACGTGGTGGATCTAGTCCACAGGATTAAATCAGTGCTCCAACCAACAGCATGGACAGATGTTGAGGAATACTGTGTAGGTTCAACACAGCTCAGTCTGGTTTTCCTCATTCATTGCATGGCTTAAGATACATATACATATTTTATTTATATATATATATATATATATATATATATACACACACACACACACACACACAAGCAGCTTAAAGGGGAAGTCAAATTACAGCTACATGCAGCTACAGTAGTGTTGTTTGTACTACTTCTGTTGAAATGAATGTACTTTTGGGCTAATTGAGTTTCTTCCTACTTTAATAAAGTAGCTGCTTGGACCCACAGTAGAGTTTAAACAGGTATTTTTGGAATGTCTTTGCTTCTTTACTATGCTGCAGCTGAATTCTGTTGGGCTTCACAACATATTACAGGACAACCCAGTATTGGAAGATGAGAAATTTTGTCGAAAAAAATATCTGCATGAGGGAGGGAGAAAGGGAACACTATATTACACTGAATCATGCACCAGAAAATCCAACATGCAGACATTTAGAACAGCATTAGGAAATTTTGTATTTAACTACCTTCTCCCCAAAGGGACTTCACTGGGTGATACCTGGAAGTATTGCTGATAAAACTATCTTTTTTTGAGTTTTGTAATTCAAAAAAAAAAAAAGGAGTACCTGTAACTTTTATGGTAGCTGAAACCATAATATTACACAAGGAATTAAATCAGGACAATATTTTCAGAGTACAGTTAAAAAACCCTGAATATTCATAAAAGAGTATGTTATATAATTTTAGAAGATTAATTAAAGCCTGTTCCCAAAGACTTTGGGACAACTCCCAAAGCATATAGGATCTGACTCGAATATTGGTTTTGGATTAAAGGTTTCCAAAGAATTGCACACAACTTTACATTGAATAGAGTCACAGACACTAGAGGAAGGTCTATTGGAAAGACAAGAAGCTGGAGACTTTCTGTAAGACAAAAGAAAGGCCAAGGCTCAAGGAGGCAGAGGCTAAAAAGGCTTTTGTAATAAGCTTCTGCTTCAGAGGGAAACGTTCATGTTGAGTGATGAGTTGGCAGAGAGGAAGCATGCAGAGCAACAGAGATTGGAATAAGGGGTACAAAGAGACAAGCACCCTTAAACCCCATATAATGACCATCTCTGTGTGTCAGGTATGATTATATATTTCTGCCATGGCAGGGCATGCTGCAGTCAGAAGTATGACTGGCCTTACACTCTATGTGCACATTTTGCAGTGGCATTTGTACCGCTGGTCAGCTGTGCTGGATGCTATACAGAGAAATGCTAAAAGCCAGCCCTTGCTCTAAAGGGCTCAATGAGCACATGCTATAGTGGGACATGCTGTAGAGGGATAAACAAAACCATGAGAGCATTAGAAAGGGCAACATCTCCTACATGTCTGTAGGTGGTTTGCTTTACTGCCCAAAGCAAGACTGCAAAGTAATTTCCTTCCTGATCAAGGAACTCCACCGTGAATCTTCTTCAGAAGGTACTCTGTTACTAATTGTCACAGAAAGAGCATTTGTGACCAACAGGTGAACTGTAGGGTCACTCTGAGGCATCATTTACACAGTTTTGATGCCTTTTCCTACAGTTATGGGGCCTGCAAGGGTCTCAGAAAATAACCCAGTGGAATGGAAGCAGATGAGACCAGCATATTTTAGGGGCAAAAAGGAAGCTCTAAGAAGCCCTAGGTAGAAAACCTGGAATGCTGTTTGCATTACATTGTACAGACTAGATACCTAGGGGCTCTGCCAGTCAGTACTGCAGAGGACTTGTCCCTGTTTGGTCTTGCTGACAGTTTCATGGGGCAGTTAATTTGCTGCCAATAGCAACTAACAATCAGAAAACTTACACTCCAGTTTGGAATCCATGTGCTGCTCCTGGATCCCAACTTGCTGTTGCTCTCACAGGCTTTGAGCACTATCCTTTTCACCCTAGAGCAACAGGATCTGTTGCTCATAAAACCCAGCATGGTTTGGACATGGAGATTAAGAAAAAAAACCAGACATGAGCTGATGCAATGTGTGTGTCTGCTTCCTTACTGATCCATATTTTGATAATTCAAAGAAATCTGGCTATTAGGACCAAAGCTTTTAAGTCAAAGTGCCTCTGAAATCCCCTACAGATGTCATGAACATGGTAATTTTCAGCCCATTTCTTCTTTCTCTCCACGGTTAAACTAAATGACAACTAGAGTAGGTGAGTCCCTAGAACTGAGGTCTGTTTGAGCCCAAAATGAACTATCCCCATCTTACAAAAATCACTGGGTTTGGTATTTCTAAGCAGGCTGAAGGAAGAGTGATGCTGCAAAGTGACAGCTGTGAATTGATTTTAGCAGCATTTAGAAATACAGAGGGATGTAAAAACAACCACTTAAGGAGGGTATGACTGTGTGTGCATATAAAAGCAAGGCTAGCTTGCTATGGGTGGAGAGACAAAAGGCTCTGAGTTGAAGAAAACCAACTAACAAAGAACAAGCTATTTCAAATCCACCTACTTGCACAGCAAGAAGGCATTGCATGCCACCAGGAACATTCAAAAAGCCTCTGAGTGACAGAAGGGATGTTTTACCCTGTTTTGACCGAGTTTCATGTTGAATAGTGTGCTAAAAGCACAGGAGACATAGCCAAGCTGGTTATTCTCTATTTGAGGAAGAAAATCAGGACTGGAATTTTCCCTGCAAACCACAAGCATCCTAAGGACCACTTGCCTGTTGCTGTCAGGTCAGCGGGCTGCCTTCTTGCTGAGTCCTGTAGTGCTTTTTGGCATCTCTTCCCTCAGGGACCTGAAGGACAACATACCACCCAAGGAAAACTGGCACATCTGCCACACTGGCAAGGTCAGAGACAATTATTTAGAGGCCAGATCCAAACTATGGTTTAGACTGCTAGAATAGTCCTGGTACATGATAGAGGAACTGGGTCACCTCCTCTTTTAGGGTAAAAGCAGCCCTTTCAGCTGCCAGGTATAGCTCAAGACTTGCAAGGGAACTTTCTTCCCATTTCATGAGAAACCCCTGCATGCTTGCCTCTCACCAGCCACACAGTGTCTGGGTTCATTATTTTCTCCTTCCCCATCCCATCACATCCACATACAGAAGCATACTGTAGCCTGAGCAGGGAAGACAGCTGAAGTCATCTTTGCAGAGAGGCTCATTTGTACCTTTTGCAACCTGAACCTTAATCAGTTCAGATGCCATAATGGTGTATTTCTAGCATTCTCATCACTTGGTTTTCTGCTAGAGCAGGTTTCAAGGTTTTTCTTCTTGACCCTGGGATTGCATATGCTGTGCTTGCAGGTTATCCAGAGGACTCTGAGGACGAGTACGTGCTGGTCAATAACAAATGTCAGTGTGTAACAGTGACCTCAAGGTTTGTCCCCTCCAAAGAAAATCCTGATGAAGAAGTCCTGGAGAGAAACATACGGATCCTGTAAGTGGCAGACAACTATTACATGGAGATGGTGAACAGGACACTAGGTGTCGTAAGAGTTGCCTTTTCTTTGCATTGTTTCCCATGTCCTGAAATTGATGAATTGAACTGTTTTTTCTGTGGGCTGCTTTCTATGGTATCCTGGAATATTTCCTTTTGCTTAATGTTTTTCTAGCTCACATGAACATATCTGGTGTTTGTCCCTTCAGATATAAAAAGCATCTCCATGTTTTTAAGTGGTCCAGTAGTAACTTTACAAAATAGTCTGGCAAGGTAGAGTGTAACAATTCTACAGTTGAACTAATCTGAAACTAAATTGGGCCCGTGACACTGTATTTACTTACCAATCTGACAGCAAGCCTGCTATTTTATAGGCTGGGAAAACTAGTTAATGCCCAAACTACAAGAAAAGATTAATCCTATGAGACAGATCTCAGTTCAAGAGGAGGATTTTGTCCTCTTTATTCACACAAACCTCACAGAAGTGTGTGTGTCTCTTGGAAACAGGGACCAAGTTCAGGCTTAGAGCTGCAGGAGTTCTGACAGAGCTCACAACAGGAAAAACACTAATTAAACATCTCTATGTCCTGCAAGTCTCAGGCATCTGCCAGCTCAGAGTTTAAAAGAAAAAAGAAAAATTATCAGCACTATCACCTTGAAAGTGGTACCTTCAAAAACTGCTGCAGCCCCCTCAGGGAGAGTTGTTGCCTTTGAGGGCACAGAAGGGTGAAGATCTGCCGTTCTTGGGCTTTTTGCTATGGAGAAGAGTCCAAACGGAAATAACCTGAAGAACAAGAGAATTTTTCACAGCAGAGTAGTCCCCTGTTTAATAAGCAGTTTTCATGATAGCTATTGTCCTCCCTCCTTTGCAGTGTCCCCCTGAAGGCTCGAGAGAACATCTCTGACCCCTTGTCCCCTCTCAGAACCACTTTTGTCTACCGCATGACTGAACTGTAAGTAATTTTATTTACTAAGTTAATTTCCTAAAACTTAACCTTTTCTGTAACGTTGCCCACAGCAGCTCAAAAACATGCTCAAAAGCCAGTAGACAAGGTGAGGCAGGGTCACAGAGGAAAGTTTTCCCCACAGAGCCTAGCTTTCATACTCTGTTGCAAGCCAAGAAATTATCTCCATGATTAATTCACATAAAAAGGTCTCACATTTACAGGGAATGTTTCATTCTGACCCCTGTTCATCTCAAATGTCTTAAATATCAACAACTTACACATTGCCTGTTTAACCCTCCCTTTTAGGGACCAGTCTTGCCAATAGCAGTTTGACAACACTAAAAGCATCTGACCAGGAGTGCCTATGTAAAACCCAGGAAGGCCACAGTACTGTCCTAGCTACATCTGCAGATCAGCAAGGAAGAGTTGGGTTTCACCAGGGGCATCTTTTTTATCACAACTCTTAACACTTGTTCTATTCTCCATCTCTTCCAGCTGCAAGAAATGTGATCCTGTAGAAATTGAGCTGGGTGGTGAGATATACCAGGCCCAGCAGAGCACCTCCTGCAATGAACACGAAACCTGCTATACCTACAACAGGGACAAGTGCTACACCACAACCTTCCCATTCTACTACCACGGGGAGCTGAAACAGGTTCCAGCAGCTCTGACGCCGACATCCTGCTACGCCGATTAACTCAATCCACTGGGGTACTAATGCCTTCTTGCACTCAGTGTTTCTATCAAAAATACATGTATAGCACCATAGTACTGGACAACAGTGTCCAAAATATCAGTTCCCAGAGTAATGCCAACTTGTCTCTTCATATTTTTAATATCAGAATAATGCCATCTCCCCAGAGCAGCTACTGCTTGTCATACAGTCTCTTCTCATATCTGAGAAGACATATCTGCAATGCCATTATTATACAGCTCAGACATTATCACCATATAGACCAGGTCCTCAGCAGATGTAAATCACTGATTCCCTTGAAGTCAACGGGACTACGCTGATTTAACAACACTGGGGAATCTGTCTTTTTGACAGTCTTCCATCAGTCTTCATATGAGCAAGGCTGTCACAGACATGAGCAGGAATGTCTGTGCACTTCCCTCCCTGAGCAATCTGAAGCAAACATCCACACAACTGTTATACAAGACCCTTTGATTATACGAGCAGAATTTGTGCCATTATTAGAAGGCTGTTGTACAATCATATCTGAGAGAAAAGATGAGGGATGAGACTGAGAATTCAGATTTCAAAGTTACATTACAATTAGGCATTCTAGACCCTTCTAGCACTTTGACAACTGCAAGCTTCTAGTTTTCATGTACATTCAGAGAAGATCAAAATGCTGCTACCCTGAAGTGTTTTGCAAAGTTGCCAGGTCCTCCGCTGTGCCAGGAGTAGTAAACTCTTCCAGGACATGTTAAGTATTTCACTTTCCATGCTTGTTTATTGATATTGCTGCCTTCTCCCACTCCTGCTCCCAGTTTAATTGATGAAAAAAATCTTGTTGGCTCAAATTTCTTTTCTCGTTCCTCATTTTGCATTTCAAGCTTCAAGAAATTCTATGAAGGTGACTCAATTGCTAGAGCAGGACCCTAGTTAGGGATTCATTCCTTCTTTCACACCATCAGTCTTTTTATTCATCCAGCAAACCCTCACCAAATAAAGGAAATTATTCTGTATTGCACCTTACATTTGAATGCATTACACTCAGTATTGCCCATAGAGACATCATGTATATGAGTGCATAAGGTGCCCAGCATTACATTTGAGATGGCTGGTATTTCTCACTGTTGTCAGAAGTTGATTGTAAAGCCTTAGGTTGTTCTGAAAAGTCCTTATCTGGCTTCACACATAATTGGAATCATAAAACAGCAAAAACCTTATTCCCGTAATTGTAGCTTTGTTAGTGAAACATTAAATAAACTTTTTTCTGCAGCAGACTGTGTGTTATATTCCAGTTCAAGAACAACTCATAAGAAAAAGCTAAGTCTATAATCATAGCCTTTCCTCCTTCACAATGAAGTAAGAAGCTGTCCCTAAATAACTGCTTATACTGACAGGCAAAGCTTCCTGAAATACTGGTATAGAAATATGATGCATTTAAAGAAACTAGGACCAATTGAGGCTGAACTGGTTTATGATTTTTAGGATCAGCTCTCCATCACTGAGCTGGCTTCAAAGCCCTTTGAGTCAGTACAGGATTGCAGTTTAAAAATCCAAATATCACCAAAATCACTCTTGAAATTGCAATCTACAGATCACAATTTTACCTCACCACTGAAAAAAGTGCCTTTAAGACAGCTATGTTGGGAGCTAGTCATTCATAGGCAAGCTGTCTGTCCTAAAGCAAAAACAGTCTTGTGGGGGACAAATTTTGAAGAACAAGAGAGTAAAGAGGACTGAGACATTAATTATTCTAATGTTACATCAGAGTTACAGAAAATGAACTCATGAAAATATCAATTTTTCCCCTCTTTCATGCAGAAAGACAGCCAATTCAAAGAAATGCAAAATGCCAAGGGAGGTAGAGACTCCTGCCACATACTGACACAGCTATAATTATTTCAAGTGGTTAGGCACTAAGCTCACTAAAATCTGTCTCAGACATTTTAATCTTCAAAGTCCTGGTGTTCACCAGCCTAGGAGTGCTGTGATGTTAGAAGTTTGTAGGTCATGGTGAGGCTGTATTTCATCTCCCAACAAAGCTCTTCAGGTTACAGCCACAGGAATTTGTCAGACCTTTGGGCCTCTACACTGGAACTATGTGCCTAAACGTGAAGTTTCCACATTCGTCTGTACATCCTGTTGTAGAGACAATGGAAGATTCACAGGAACAGGGCTGGAAATCACCCTGTAGCACACCTGTGAAGTCCAGCAATGCCAGCACAACAGACTAATCATGAGAGCCATTCAGGGAAAAGGAGATCAAAGCACACTGTCTTCCCAGCAGCTGTGAACAAGTACTTGCTTAGATGATCTTGGGCAGACCAAACAGCCACTGTGAAACAAGAAAAAAAGTGTTCAGCAAATTCTCCATATATTATTCAGCTTTATAATGAAGCAAGATTCATTCCCCTCAGCTTTTCTGAGAGGGAAAATTCTACACTGACAGCCCTGCCCACCCCTTGGTACTGAATTGTGTTAGCCAGGTTTTGAATAACTCAAAGAAAGTTAAATCAGGCCCTGAATCCTTACCTGAAAGACCAGGAGAGTATAATAGGAGCAAGTGAGGTCTGCTTATCCCCAAGAGCATACTGGGGAGGGTCTGGGACCTTCTAGCAAGGGGAAGAAGTAATGATGGATGAGAGAAATTCCCCTTGCTGGGAGTTGTCTTGGATATGCCAACAAAACCGTGTCCCACTTGGAAAGATCACGTTTCTCAGGTTGTGCAGCCACTACTTCAAAGCGGGATTTTTTGGTGAGTCCTGATGTTAGGGGTAAGGTAAGAATGCCTCCCTTGGTGTGAACTCCTGTTTCATTCTCTGACTGGTGGGACAAGGCTTCCCACTTGGACATGCAATACTTCCCTGCAAGCTACATCTTTTTCCTTCACAGGTCAGGTTTGTTCTTTAGCTGCATTTAATGTTTCTTGAATAGTTCATCTTAGAAATGTGTTCCTACAAGTGTGAGATGAAAGGAATTTAGCTTAAATGCACCAGGATGAACTATTCAATTTTAAACTATTTAAAAACCTCACAGACTGCTTCTAGACTTAATTCCTCCCAGGTCTGTCCTCCTTGCCTAAATACTGTTCTGTTGCTTATGCAATGTTGAGTTAGAGGGATTTATTACTAGTTTTTTTAGAAGTCCTTTTTAAACCATGGAAATTTATCCTCATAATCCTGTTTCCAGTTTGACAAAAAAGTTTAATTAACAGCAGAAACTGCAGCACATAGCCAAGCAAAACAAATCCTTGAGCTCAAAGACATTATTTTACCATAAGGAATTCAGGAAAGAAAGCAGCTTATGACCATAGCCAAGCAGTCAAAGCAGCAGTTTATCTCACATAGCCAAAAGGCTATGAGACAGCCTAGTTCCTGTGCTGTGAAAGCTTCAGCTATCTTTATTAAGTGTAGTTTTGGTGTAGTAATATATAACAGGCTATGATTTTTAATGGCCTCACTATATTAAGTCTGGTTTTGTCAGCACAAGGTTTGTCCATGGTGGGGTCTTTCTGCAGAAGGGTACTACTTTGTACACTCTCAGGTTTCATTTTTTCAGTATGTATAGAGATTGCAGCCACTTACACCTTAGACAATTCGGAGAGCACTTAATTATATTCTGTAAAACAGTAAGCACAATGTGGATGCTTAAAAAACATTAAATTGTTTGTGGACCAGGTTCTTTGACTAAGCTGGCCTGTTATCACACAAGATGTCATCGGTGCCTTCTACACAAGCCCAAGCACTGCTAAGCTAGCCAAGTGGTTTGTGCCTGAATTTGGTAGTCCAGATTCAACCTTCAAACTATCTGGCCATTTCAGAAGTAACTCAAAATTAAGTTTATTTTAATCTAAGAATATTCTTTTAGGGGCAGCTCAGCTACTAGCTTCTAGTCATTTTAAGAGAATTTAGAAATCTGTGTTAATTCATGGTCATGAAAGAACCTTCTCTTATTTTGTTGTATCTCTTTAAACACTTTATTGCAAGCTTTGGATGTCTCCTCTGGAGCTCTACTATCATTTCCCCCCACCAGCATTTTCGAAAGGAACTGAAATAAAAGATTAAATGTAAGCATGATTAATAATTTCAAATGACACTTAGAGAGTGACTGAAGAAAAAAGTAAAACTATGTAAAGAGGAAGGGTCAAAAGTCCAGTGCACATATTGTTCAGCTGCAGCTGTTGCTTATGATATGAGATGAAACTCAGTGAAGTCCCATCCTGGGCATCCGGAGGTTGAAATCTGTTTTGCACCTGCAGTTAAGATGTAGCACTGGCTTCTGCAAATGCTTATGGCATGTAAGAATGTCAGCCACATGAGCTGCAAAGCTATGCAAGTCCTGAGTGTACATCAAAATACCTGTTCACTTGCTCCCAGGATGGCACTTTGTACAGCCTGAACAGGGGGATCCCAGCACTACTTTCAAGACCCCTTGTGCAACAGAGCCACAACTGCATTCTGAAGCCCCATCTGCAATTACACCAGTTCCTCCCCTCCAAAAGCTCCAACACATAGAAAAGAACTAGAGGTCCCTGATCTAGGCCCAGGACCTTGGGACAGCACAGCAATAGCCACAAGCACATCACATGGGGACACAGGCAACACTCTCAGCAGATTCTCATGACTCACCCAAGGCTTTCTGTAGCCCTTTCTTTCCAGGAATTCCTTCGAGGCCTGTGTGCTGTGAAGCTCTGTGACTTCCATGTCCTGAATTAATTTCCACGGTAGATTGAAGTAAAACAGTAAAATTGCATTTTTATGTACAGATTCCACTTGCCTGAAGAAACCATGCAGTGTATTATCTGTCCAGCTCTCACAAAAACTTAATAAATGTTACTGCTAACAGCTCTAACTAGCTCAGATTCCATTTTCTCTTTTCAAAGAAATGAGGTTGCTTTGTGAATATGAACTAATTTTTAACAAATTATAACCTATGATCTGATGTCCTGTGCTACACAGAGTGATTTCCCCCAACATCTTTGGTAAGGAAGACAGGACAAATTTTTCTTCATTATCTGAGTAAGCACACCTAATCTCAATCTGCACATTAGTCCCAGGACGAGCTGGACAAAATGAGGCAGATGATCATTCAACTGTAAATTTGGCCTTTGTTTTTAAGCAACATTAACAAAACCATAACCTTTGTCTTTGTGTTCTTCTGAGCTCAGCTGTTGCCAGGCAAATCCGTTCTGCAAAACTTATTCCTCCTTAGTCTTACCGGCAACGTTTCTTCATTAAACAGGAGTAACTCTTGTCATTCAGCTCACCAGTCCGTTGCCTGTGGCATGATTTTAGCCATCTTCAACTCCTCGGTTTTATATTTGGAAGGACTGCCCTCTAGAGCATGAACAACGTCTTCCAGTCTTACTGTGTAGTAAGCGTGAAGATGGAGGGTTTTTTTATGAAGAGGAAACTAAACCTACATCTAAGTAAACCCAGCAGTTGAAGGAGAACCTGCCTGCTCTTTGAACTCCTCCTAATAACACCTTGTACCAGAGCTGAATCCAGCACCTCTGTCAAGATGGTTACTGCAGGAAAATAAAACCAGGATAAAAACACCCTAAAATGTTGAGGTGCCAATTGCATGTGATTGCATTTTATCCACATATGATACCAAAAGCATTAAAGGAACTACATTTACAACAGTTACTTCAACTAAATCTTGATTTGTGCTTATTTGCCGTCTAGAGCTGTTGTGCCCATATATAGGTGCCATGAAGCCACAGTCTCACCCAAGTGAATCAGCCTGTTTGAACCATCTCAGCTGGGAAAACATGTGTTCCACATCTGTGTGGCTGTCAGGTACAATACAGTGCCCAGAGACATTCCCATCAGAAAATAACCTGTCATAGCTATGTCACAAAAGAATTACATCACTTTTTTTTTACATTCACTATACCTTTTCAGACAGGTTCTTTGCATTCCTGAGGCTACTGATTGTTGCCTCTGTAGCTTTTAATGGTTCATCCACTTTCTGTTTTCTCCACATTTTGGGGTCAAGATACCATGCTCCATGTCTGATCCTCTCCCATTTTTGGGGGGAAGGAACCTAAAAAACCCACTGTAGCAGCATTCTTTCATCATGTTGGCATTTGTGTCTCGTGCCATAGGCAGTATAGACACTGCTACAGAACCTGAACACCATCTCTGAAGGGTCTAACAGGGATGATCTTGTACCCTACAACTATACAATATAAAGGTGATGGCTGATGAGAATGTCCAGCTAGCAATTTTTCCCCATTTTTCTCCACAAAGGCAAACAGTATTAAAAGC